ATCTTGTTGAGGATATAGATGTAGAACACACCGAGGCAAATTGAAGAAGATGAAGAAACGAAAATGCTCCAAATCCCGAAATTTTCAGATTAAAAGATAGCCCTCGACGATCAACACAACTTTTGTAAAGGCCCAAGGTGAGAAAACAACTCCTACTAGATCAATCCTAAGAGAGAAGTTAGGGTTTTAGTGAGAGGAACTCTCAAAATAGCTTTTTGGAAAAGTAAGAGAGAGAAAGGATGTTGAAAAGTGAACAAAAAAATCGGATCTCGGCTTTATATAAAAGTCGCCCCGCTCGAGCGCCAAACTCCCCGCTCGAGCGTCACTCATAGATCCCCGCTCGAGCGTCCAATCCCCCGCTCGAGCGACAGATGCACGCTCCCAGAACTTTTACAGACATGGTTCCCGCTCGAGCGTCAGACACAAACTCCCGCTCGAGCAGCCAATCCCCCCCGCTCGAGCGTCTACCTCTGCAGGCGAAATACTGGATGGGTGATTTCCCCGCTCGAGCGTCAAAAGCGCCACTCGAGCTGAGAGACCAAAAACTGGGCAAAGGTTTTACGTTTTAAAACATAACCAACTTATTCCCAACTTGCCCAACACAACTCAAAGCTCGAACACACAGGGAAAGGGATAGAAAGAGGATAAGACAACAGCACCCTTACGAAACCGAATCCGGATTACAGTTAAGCACGAAAGGGAAAACCGGAATCGCTATAGAGTATTTAGGCCAAAATTGCAAACCGAATCCAAATGGAAATTTTCTATTAAAAAAGCAAGTTAAAGGGTTATGCCTTGGTATCATATCTATTAAGTTGTGGTTTGTAGGTAGTATTATTTTTTTGGGGTATTTTGGTAGTACAGTCAATTTGGTGGGTAAAGAAGGTAAACCACATAATTATGTTTTCTGCTTATTTTTTATGCTTAATAATTCCTATGCTATTTTTTCCTGCTAATTCAACAAGACCAATGGCAAACTGAAATTTGCATTTTAAATTTATTGGTTTTATTGTTAGCCATTAAAGTTCATGAAGCTTGAGTTGAACCATGGGGGCAAACTGAAATTCGCATTTTAAATTTATGGATGAATGTATATGTAATTTAAATATATATATACTAATGTATATGCAATCAAAAAAATTTACACACTCATTTATATGAATATTTTAACATCTATGGGGTTTTATACAGGGGCATATACCACCCAACACAGATGAAAACATAAAAGATGAGTGAAAATGTAAAATTGAAGTAAAAAATTAAAACTTTATGAGTGTATTTCATAGTTAACTGAAAAGTTTACACAAATATAAAGAGATTATTCCAGTTATTATATACTTTTAGAGACAAAAAGCAAAAGCCCCCAAAAAAATGGAGTGATTGAAAGATTCCATACCTTTTTCTTTGTATTTGTTGTAAACTTCAGTCAATTGGGTATAGTTTGAATCTACTAACCCACTGTTTCAACCCCCACATACACAAATCACACAAAAACCCAGTATTTGAAAAGAAAGATAAAAGATTAAACCCATATATCAATTTCACAAAATATGAGGCAACAATAAACAATATTAGAAAAGAGAAGAGAAGGGAAGAAACCATTTGGAAGCAACGTTGACAACAAGAAGAACCCTCCCTTTGTATGTGCTGAGATCCACCTCCTTACCCTTGCTATCCTGCACATCCCAAACAAATTCCAAACTTTCTCAAAATCCAAACAAAACAATTTGAACAAACACATATAAACATGTATGTAAAACAAATAAAGAATGAGAGAGAGACCTTGACTGAGAAATCATGAATGGATTTTTGAGGGACTGATTCAGAAGCACCCATCTACATTGTAACCAGAGAGATTTGTTTACATGTAAAGATTTCTATTTCTTGAAGGTTTGGCCAAGACAACAGCCAGCACAGAGCACCAATATATATGTGTGTGTGTGTGTGTGTGTGAACAACATGGAGAGAGTAGCCTTGAAAAAGTTTTCCTTCACATTATTTTCCCAAGAGATTTGAATTTCCAAACACACACCATATAATGATATTGTTACATCATTTTTATGGAATTTTTTGTATGCATAAAGTTTTCCTATAGGATGTTATGTATGAATCAGTAAAAAATACACAATTCCAAAATGTCAAAAAGCCAAGAGAACCTATATCATTGCCAAAGACTTGTTATGCAGAGGTTATTGTGTGCACGTATATACATATATATATATATATATATGCATGATAACAATTGAGTTACTCAAACCTCCATCATTTTTCTCTGGTATGACTATAGCTCTACATGTCACCATCGTCAATAGAAAAAGAGAAAAAGTCAATGTGGCAATGTCAATCCATGACTAGCTACCATGATAAAATATGTACGTATATATATTTTCAAAAGTAGAGGATCTGAAATTCGACTCAAGCAGACGTAGAGACGACGACGACGACAACAACAATTCTATAAATGCACTGTTTCAAATGCAATCAATCTGTGATAAATGTGCAACAAGATTGAATCAAATGGAATTGAAGTATTTGGAGCATTTGAAATTCGCTCCTTTTATCAGATGAAATTCTAGGAACACTTTGAGAATGGAATGTGTTTGACTTACCATGTATGGAACACCATCAAGTCAGCAAAACTAGCTCCAAAGAAATCTTGTTTGGTTGTGTTTTTGTTTCCGGTTCTTGTTTTTCTTGTTTTTGGAAGAAATAATGGAAAGTTTGAAAATACTCATCATTTTCATTTTTTAGCGAAATTAGTTTCTGAGAATTTTTGTGAAACAATTCGCCCAACCAGTTTATCCAGAACATGAGAACAGAAAAGACAAAACAAAAACACAAAGAGGCTAGTGTCATAAACAACTAGATAGACAGATTCTCACCAAATATATAGGGTATGAAAACATGGGGAATGGAACTTTAAATCTTAGGATTTTGGTAGATTCATCCAAAGTCTTGTATATCTTCTCAGGCAACTGTAACCATAAGAGTAATTAATTAAATACTAGCATATATGAAACATTGGAACCATAAAAAATATATATACATAGAAATGCTAAATGGACCTTATCAACCCCAATCAAGGCATTTCCTTCCATCTCCTTTGATGAGGCCTTCGGTGAAGAACTGACCATGCTAAGTCCACCCTCTTTATCTGCGAACAATTGGAATGTAGTTTCAAACATTGTTACAGGTCTTAAAATTTTTGAATACAATTGTTAAAGATTGAACTTGCCTGGCAAAATCAGAAACAGAACATGTTACGTTTTGTGTAGATTTAAAGGATAATTTTGAACAAATTAGAGCTAAATAGCATAACTGCAAATACAAAAATAAAAATAACTGGCCTCTTTATCTTCATTTTTTACTTCGACTACACTATTAAAATATATATATATATATACAGGGTATGCATATAGAGAAGCTTAGATGAATATACATTCTTGGAGTCTTCACTGCTTGCAGTCTCGGCATATATGACCAGGCAGAACAAAACTTGTTTATATACAGGGTATGCATATTTAATGGGGCGTCTACACCTTCATATTATTAGGATGATAAAGTCTGAAGTTTCCAACAACTTATTATGCATAAAAGATAAAAGAAACTCACTCAAATGGTTCAAAATATCTTCTATTTTTCTTCATGAATGAAGTCTTAAAAGGGCTATGATGCAGCATCACAAATTGCTACAAATTTCTCATCATCAAACAAATCTATTAGTTGAAGACAAGCACTCTAATAAAACATCAAACGGCTGAAATAATCAAATTTAATAAACTATTAAGTGAAACCATCACTTCAGTGAATTCCAATCCGTTGTTTTAAGCAAACATAGCTAGTTTTTGAACTTGGCCGTACTCATTTGATACATAATTCAACATATAATCCATATGATATAAAAGGTTACAGAGTTTCTTATTGAGATCTATTTTTAAAAAATTTGTCAATCTATTCATATATATGTATGTATGTATGTATTTTGTGTTCAATTTTAACATCTACAACACACATTATGATCTTCAATCGATCAATAGATCTTCAATCGAAACCTACCATACTTGAATTGAATCAATAGATCTTCAATCTGATCTAAGAATGATAAAGTAGATGAAACCTAGCATACTTTAATCGAATGATTCCGTCAGTAAAAAGATAGAGATGAGACTGATCAACACTTACTATGAAGAAAGAGCTGTGAACGCGAACACGAACTAGAGAAGAGGCTTGAATCGATCTGTAAATACGAAGGGGTTCAGCTATGGTTCTACAAATATGAAGGGTTGTCTCTGAAACGAAGGGGTTTGAAGCGAGAGAGAGTGAAATCAAGGGTTTAGAGAGAGAGAGAGAGAGAGCAAGACTAAGAGTGAATAATACTTGAATCGATCTACGAATACATGAATCGATCTGCAAATACAAAGGGGTTCAACTACGGTTCTACAAATACGAAGGGGTTTGAAGAGAAGAGAGAGAGAGGGGAGAGAGAGAGAGAGAGTGAAATCAAGGTTTTAGTCAGAAAGAGGAAGACTCAAAGAGAGTGAATACGCTACTTTATGTTCTCATATATTAAAAAAATAAAAAAACACATTCGAAGGCGTTTTTAAAACGACTTCTGAAATTAAAACGGTGCCATATTATTAAACAAAAAATGCGACGTTTATAAAAGCGCCGTTAAATGTTAGAAATAGAGGCATTTTTTTAAACGTCGTTAAATAAACGCCGTTAAATCCCAGTATTCTTGTAGTGGTACAAGGGTGGAACCCACGATTTTGTGTTGAGGCATGGAAGCATGGTGTTTGGTGATTGGTGGATGGTATTGCCACGTGGTGTACCTAGAATACTTAATAATATTTCTTTTAGCTAGACACACATATTTGCATATGTGGGTATTTTTGAAAAAAAAAAAAAACGAACAAGACCTATTGGAATAAAATATTTTGAGCAGGTCTAACCTGTCCTCAAATAATTTTATGAAATAGAACTTTTTACTTAATGCCTCTCGAAATTACAATTCATAATAGTGAATTAAGATTGTCTCCATTATAAACTTTTTTTTGGGGAATAAATCATAAAATAAAACAATAAAATATACAAACTTATGAGGGGCATTCTTGAGGCCTTACATCACCCAACAAACAACACCTAAACAGAAAAAACCCAAGCACTGGAGCACAAATACAATAACATAATAAAGTAAAACTTGCAGAAGCATAGGAAGGACCAAGACCAAACTGGAGCCCTATCATCATGCATCCACAGCCATAGCAGCAACTGCAGCCCAGCTCAAACCAGAACAGAGCCAAGACAAGCAGCAGCAGCTGCAGTTGCAGCCACCAGAGAATGCACCAGCAGCAGCCAGCTCCAGCCACAACCTCCCAGCAACATTGCAACAGCAACACACCAGCAACCAGCAGCAGCAGCAGCCACCAGGGACAGCACCATTGTTCCAGTAACAGCTAGCTTCAACCAGCAACACCAGCCAAATTCAACAAAACTTCTGAGGCAGCAGCAGTAACTTTGGTAGCAACATAAACCAGATACATCAGCTCCCGTGATCAAACTAGGACTTTCCAAGAGGGAATTCCATGGAGAATGGCCCCTAGCTGTAGCCAGATCCTCAAGGATGCCTCCTCCAGACCAGGCATAAACACTTAATATAACTTGAGAATACCAAACAAAGATACAAACATCCAAACTTAGAACCAATCTGACGGTAAAAGAAAATAACCTGCAACAAGTCTCACGTAATATATAGAGCTAATACACTCAACCCTCAAAATTACAACCACTCTCAACAAAGACAACAGGTATAGTAGCAATATAGAATCCAATCCAAAAAAATGTATGCTCACATCACTAGGCCCTCAACAACAAACTCCCAAACAAGGTACCAGCACAGATAGAAACCTGCAAAAAGAAACAGTTAGGAATAAATGTGGTGCTGCAATTCACTCACCATCACTCCCTCAACATCCTATTGATATGCTCACAGCTACTCAACCCACTTTCCCTAAGAAGAGGCCAGATTGACAACTTGCAAAGCATACAATTAGGGTAACTAATGATCAATCATTTTTCAATAAAAAATAAAGAACTAAACAAAGCACTAATTCAATAAAACAGTTGATTGTCCAGGTATTGAACCACGAGGACTTTGGGCTAAGTTATATTAATTTGAATGCTAATTTTTAATTTAATTGAAGAAGAGAGGATGATTTGGTTTTTGCTAATGAGAATTTAAATTAAAACTAAAACAATTGCGCAAATAAGAAAGTAATCTGAATATGGAGAGAGACTTAGGATTTCAAATCCACTACTAATCTCATATTATGTAATTAAAATACCTAATTCTAGTAAATCAATGGCTCGGATAATAATGATATATCGTGGCTACAATCCCCAATATCATCGTCAAGAATGTGAGTATATTCAAAATGTAGGCATGAATCATCTTCAGTCAACACAAATCGTCTACACTAAACTAAGGTTGTAGCACGATTCGTCTCCCTTAAGCATGACTCGTCTCACGATTTGTATATACAAAAAGGTAAAACAATTGTATGATCATGCATTCTCAATCACAAAAATCGAATGAAAATATTATTTGTATGAAAGATCTAAAAACAATCATACAACAATTATCCAATTCCAAAGAAAAATTAGAATTAAAATACAAAATTACATGATACTCTTTTTTTTTTTTTTTTTGATCGAAAAATTACATGATACTTGATTAGAGTTTCATCTCAATCCTAAGAAGAAAGCTTATCCGCTCATGGAGAGGTTGAACACTTCGAATGTTGAAAAGAAAGACATGGATTGATGATTTGCTCTTCTTCTCTAACTTCTAGCTGTCTTCTGTAGGGTTTCCGACCCCAAAACAAGTCCCCAAAATCTCTTTTTATATCCTCCAGTCAATTCAAAGTCAAAAGCACGAGCGCA